TTTGAGCATTATTCGACATTTTGAAAAAAAAAACAGTGAAACACGAACCCACCTTACCTTCGTCTCTCTCCCCATAACCGTGAATATTTCGATTTCATTTTCTCTCCCACCGCGTGGAAAGACAATATGCGAAAAGCAAAGTTAATGCGAATAAATAATGCATGCAACCGGAGGGAAAGTGCCCTTCTCCTTTCCCACCCCCTTCCCTGGGCCCGCCCATTCCCTTTCATTATAAATCCACGAACAATGACAACGTATAATCGATCCGGGACGATGAATCTCGAAAAGCATCACAAAGCCGGCGTCGCGACGTCGCGAGAAGATCAGCCGGCGCCTAATTGTAAAATCGATTGGCAGGATTGCGTCTCGGCCTTCTCCTCCGTACCCCGCCGCCCCGTCACCCCACTCACCACTTTCCTCATTCCTCCGGCCTCACTAATCCCGCCCCTATCCCGTTCCTATTACGCTGCCGGCGAGCTTTTCCCAACGAAAGCTCACAAGCGCCAAAAATGTCGCGACACCGGCCGCTCGTTAATCATCTCGCGCTATCTCGATCTCACCTCACGAGGACTCGCCGCGCCGCCGCCTGCGTTATAAATATCGGTAGCGCGACGCCGACCCTCCGCGATATCAGCATTATTATGCGGACCGGCGAAATGAACGCTCTAGTGGTGCAGCCGAAGCTTGGAGTAATGACGACTTTTTATTTCCAGCCCCCCCCCCCCCCCCCCTCTCTCTCCCACCACCAACCCTCCTTAACATCCATCCACTCATCTCCGTCTCCGTCTGTCTGTCCGAAGCGGTGAGGTCGGGGTACGACGGCCGTCAACTTCGATGCGGGCCAATCGCACCTTAATCGAAGCTACGTTTCAGTTCTTTTGTGAGTTCGCCAGGATGTGCTAAGGATATACGCGATGCAATTATCGATCCTGTCTAAGGGCAACAAAACTCTCGGGTAGCTACCTATTTACAGCCTTCACTCAAAGCATTCAATTCTCAATTGTCAATAGAAATCCGGTCACTTTTACTTTTCGTCTTTCATTCCTCGCTTCATAACTATTATCAAAGAGAAACTTTTATTACCGGCGTAGGAATTTCGGAAAAAGAAAAATCATACGAAATGAAAAAGCTCAAGCTTCTTACGTACGTTAATGCGTACGTTCGTCCTTTTTTGACTGGAGTTTACTTTATGAAAATTTCGACATTTTGCTCGTGAACGTAATTACATTTTCCGTCAAAGTATGAATTGAAATGAAAAACAGAATCACACGGATAAAAAGCATTTAATTAGATCAACGATATTTAGTTGGAATTTTTAATCCTTGCTTCTGGAGTATAAACAGAGCAATGGTATTATTGTGAAAAATGAAGTAAAAATTATAAAATTCTAATAACTATTATTAATTCAATTATTAACATTTGCGTTTACTAATAAAAATCATGTAAATTCATTTCTGCACGTATTTTAAATTTTGTCTTTTTACAATAATGCTGCATACTTATTAATGATAAATGTAAATGTTTAAAAAGGATAAAAAATAATAATGGAGGAATTTGCAGTTTAGGCCCCGTAGATTTGTCAAACGTGTAATTAATTCTTTATTATAATTAATCAAAGACATAATTTTTATTTACGCATAATTGGAAATAGTATTTATCAGTTGCAGGAAACGTAATTGTCCTCTCATTGTTCCATCTGAAAAAAAAGTTTCAGCTAATTGAAGGAAATCGATCTTAATTTTTTAAATAGTTTTAAAAATCGATCGCTCAATCAGCGTTTATTTTTAAGAAGGTAGAACAATTTTCAAACCGTGGGATCTTAGTTTAGTCGAGGAATGCTTCGTACCTTAACTACGTTTTCGCTAATAAGTGAAAAAAGTCAGTGCTCGTTCAGGCGTCCGCTCATTTCCTGCAAAAAAACTTGGCGATGACCCGATTTTCACGATATTCAAGCAATAAATAAGCAAATGAAACGAGATTATTAATAAACAAATGAACAAAACGACATAACAAAACAAAAATTAAAACAACAAGAGTAAAATAAAAATAATTAAATAAGATGAACGAGCGAAACTGATAATTTTTATAGGAGTAATTACTTAAATTGCTGGGAAACAATTAGAATCGAAAATTACTTCCTTGTGAATTAGTTTTTCTTTGCTGTATACCAGTAGTTAATTGACAAGTAAATTAGTTTCTTTGCATTCTGTGCGTCACAGAATAAATTTTCAGCTTATCATTTCTCTTATTTCATAAAATTGTTTGACTAATTTCCAATCAATACTAACTCGAAGCACGAAAAAGTAGACAAAAGTAGATGCTCACCTAAATGATAAATAATATTTCCGTTATTATTGACAATGAATCTTTTATGCATTTCGTACATTTTTCACAATTAATGGCTCTTGGAAATTAAATGAGCTGAAAGGTTATTGTCGAGTCGGCTTATAAATTAATTTCTCAAATTGGACTTTATCTTGGCCAAGTTAAGTTTGTAAAAGTAGCGGCAATATTTTCATCATTTTTTTATTATTTCATTTTTTTTTTCGGCTTCCCGAACAGCCCTTCATTAGTGCTTAATTCACAATTCGAAAATCGATAATCAGTGTCAAATGAAGAGGGGCAAAAATCCGTAAAGATGAAAAAAGGGAGAGCACATTGTAAAATGCAGCTGCGCCACTAAGAATTACAACTTCAGCTAACAACTACACACTAACGGCCGGATCAGACTGTCTTGAGATGAAGATTACTCTTCTAAGCGTAGCTCTGCATCTTGCCTTTTCTCAGTTACTCTATCCCCCCCCCCCCCCCCCCCCCCGTCGCTCTATCACACCAACGCTCACTTACTCTCTCTATTTCTCTATCTCTTTATCTCTGCGTGTCCCTTTCCCTGTATTTATCTCTTACCGGCGATATCGAAGTCTTTTTAAACATCGATCGAGAGCAGTCCTGAAGTGTAGAGTAAAGCGAGAATTCATGTTTCTCGTCACGGATGCCGAGACGCGAGCACGAATTTCAATTAGATAAAGGAGAAACTTTGACAAGAGACAGGCAGAGGAAGGCAGAGAAAAAGAGATGAAATATCTGCGAAAGAGTCCGGCGATTTTCTTTCAGTCACAACCCTCATCACTTATTTTAACTCCGATGAGAAAAAAAAACTTCCATTTTTTTACTCTTTTGTCTTCTTTGAAAGAAAGGCTATTAAAAACTCTATCGAGGGCTTCGAGTTGTCGCGTCTGTGCTTTCGTTGCACAATCTAAAGTTAACATACATACGCAAGTTCTTCTTCCGCATTTTCTCTGTTTATTTAACTCTTCGTCTTAATTTTACTTTTTTTCTCTTTTTTTCTTTTTTTTTTATTCGCCCGCAGACGTTATAAGGAAGTTTTGATTTCCTTTTTTTCATAGCTCGCATATTCCTCGTTTCTATTCTCCCCTCCACCCTACTGCTCCCTCTCTGCCTCTCTTACGATTGTCACGGAAGATTTCGATGTTCCCGAGACACGGTGTCGTATTTACGTGTGTGAATTCGTCTTGTCGATGAAATGTGCTTCTTTAAACGATAATACAAAAATATTCATATGAAACGTCATGATCCACGTGGTTTCTAGTAGGGAATGAACGAAACGCCTACGTGGACTCGTATTTGCGTATTTTCTCCCCTCCTTGTCTCGCGTAGACGATCGTCGACACGAATTTTGGACAGAAAGTTCAGCTTATGCGTATGCTCGGGCTGCTTATCGTTTAATAAATCCTGCGCAAATGTGACTGCCGGCACTGCCGGCCAAAATTTAGCCACGGCAAGTGGCTGTCGGCCAAAGTCTAGCGCACCCGACTTATTTCTATCGAGAGTCATATTTCACCAACCGCCCCCCCCCTCACACACACACACACACACACATCACCATCCCTCTCTCCTTTTTTTTTCTCCTCCCAGCGCTTGCACAATCTATTTTTTTCCCCCTCACAATGCTACCACATTCTATTCTTTTTTGTTTCTCCTACCAACTTTTCCACATCCTATTCGCAATGCAGTCGACTGATCAATGTACGGCCGCGAGAGTGATTTCGATCAATTCAGACTTTCCAGTATGAAGAAAATACAACCGAGATGTCGCTCAAAGTCGATGGTACATTCTTCGCATCCGTTTGCGCATAATTTATTTAGTCCTCGCACCTAATTCACGCGAACTCGAGCACTGTCTCCACTCCCTAACGCTCGCGCTGCATTAAGAATTTGAAAAATCATCGTCCGTGAATGTATCCACTGAGCAATAATTATATGTACAATAGAGCCAATCGATAATACGGGGCATGAACGAGGCATTGACCAGCATTATAGTAAGCTTAAAAGGCAGTCGCCATACAACGTTGAAATTAAGTTTGCGACTGCACTAATGGTGGTGTGTTTGTGTGTGTTTGTGTTTTTTTGCGTGCGTGTGTGTGCGTGTGTATGCGTGTGTGTAGGATGAGGAGAGATTATGGGAGTATGGGTCAGCGTAGGGTCAGCGATCATTGGAACTATCGATACACTCTGTACAAATACTCGAACAATGAAATGTGGGTATTGAGATAACGGGCTCCTCGTCAATAAATAAATGCACTTTATTTACCGGCAGCATCATCAAAAATAGCGAATTTACGAAGCGCCCAATATCGCTCCGGGCCAAGTCAGATTACACACTGGCGGGTGAAATCGCCGTAAGGAAAACGTGGAACGGTAAGAAGGTCGGTCCTGGGCAAACGCTACTTCACCTCGAGAGTCTCGCCTAAGCCGGGCTCGGTGGGTAGGGCGGAGGGGTGCGTACGCGGCCGCGCGTACGTGTGGAGACTCGAAATGTCACAGGGGTGTGCTTCGTTTAGGCTCCCATCCTCTCCCCCTACTCATCGGTACAACGATCGCGTCCCGAGCTCGGGGAGACAAGTCGACCGTAATTCTTCGTCTCTTCTCGGTGAGCTCGTCCTCGTCCTTCGTCCGCGGACAGTGCTTAGGCTGGCCACGGTCCCGGGCGGATGGGGCCCGATGGGCCTTCATCGAGGCCAGGCATCCGACAGGTAGCTCTGGGTGACGGCGACCGCGAGGCCCAGGAGGAGGATGCCACAGAGTCGGGCGCGTTCCGACTCGCTGGCGGTGAGGCTGAAGGCGCCCAGGAACCAGCAGAGGATGCGACAGCAACCCGGAACCGAGCTTATGCCCCGCTGGATCGCCGCAGGATGCTCACCTGGGGATCACAGTGAAACAAAGTCAGCCGATCTCGGATTAATGAGTTAAATGTGCTCGGCGATTGGGCCGTAGCGCGCGACTTTTTAAGCAAGTCGTTACGAGCTTAGGAAAATCAATGCGAGTCCTTAGAGGCCGTTGGTAGGGTCATTGTCCTACCGACCGCCCAGTCGGGTTACGCGCCTAATCAACTTCCCGTCCATTTGTGATCAAGTTACAGCCTAATGCGAGGCAAGTTAACCTTCCTTTTCCCTCTCGCTGTATCACTATCTAGTCCTTGAAAGGAATAATGCGATTATCCTCTCTACCTTGTCTCCAGGCTTGTTTACGACATTATCTTAGCTACTCGCGCTTAGTATTTCAAGCAATATAACAAGTGTCCTTGCTATTCGATTTCGCGAATAAAAAGATCGATCGTCTCTGTCGTTGATTATTAGTTGCGCCATTGTTCACGCGTAGCGTCTCAGTAGCTAAGGTGGCACTGGAAGTGGCGAATTTTATAAGTATTTGCAATTTGGTGCTTTTCTCATTTTGAAAGTGACGTAACTTTCGCTACTACTGGCATTATGGCGAAGAAAAATGTTATTTGAAAAGCTTACGCTTGAATATTTTAAAGTGGCTCCGCCCACACTTGCCACTGAATACTTTTAAAAGTTTTTGGAAATATTTTCAAAATGTTGCGTGCAAAATTATTATTATTATTTTTTTTTTATCTCTCTAGCAGTACTTTATTAAAAGATATCCAAGTTTAGTGATATGCTTACCAAATTTCAACAGTTATCGTTTTCATTACCGTTAGTCAACTAGTTTATATATTTTTTATCAATAAATGTTAATTCGTATCATAAACTGTAAGCATACATTTAATATTTCATGAATGGCGATGAACTTTATATGAGTAAGCTTTTTAAAAGAAAAAAGAGACATGTACGTAATGCATCGCGAGTTTTTTATTAAATTCAAAAAGTTTCTAAACTTAAGAAAAGTGATCAAATAAACAATGCCCATCAATGATATAAATTTTAGCATTTTACATAAAGCTTAATACCTCACTTTGTTTTTCTTCCAACACCTCCTAAATTGAAGTAAATCTTTTGGATCTTCATAATTATTGAATTTCCTTAGATATTTTTCTATTTGACGTGACATTATTTTAGTTATAATTTTTTTTTTAATTATTGTCTAATAATAGCAGCATCGGTGTAGTTGTTACGAAGAAAAATATTAAAAACAACATGTTCAATGCCTTTGTTCACCACATTATGTATTATCCAATTATATTAAAGTCGACTACATAAATAAGTAATAAATAATTTTTGCTCAATAAAGTTTTCTTATACCCTCAATATGCTGTTAACTATAGAAAGAAAATTCAATTGAAATTATAATCCATTTCGAACAAATGTTGAATATGTTTTCTTATATTATACCGCATACGGGCGCTTGCCTCTTTGTATTCTAAATAAAAGCATCCATCTTCATTCGTGAGAATTTAAACATCGAAAGCAGCATTTCAAGTTAAATTGTCAGGTATCCGACGATAAGACGTATATGGGAATGATATTGGTCCTTAAGAATTTAAAATATTCCTTGCATTTAACAACTAACTAATGAATTTACAAAATAGACTAGGCGTTATAGGTCGTTTAATATTAATGTTAATGTACTTGAAAGATATACCGGTATATTATTCAATTATCTTCTTTTTCCTTTATCATCGCTAATAATAATGCAAAATTTATAACTTTCATTCGGTATATATTGGTTAAAAAATCTTTTCTATCCTAATCTATCCTTTCTCCGCATGTAATATTACTACTCTATATACAGTATTACTAATGGATTATTCGACGAATCGTTCGTTATGAGAATTTTTCTCATTTATTAACGCTACTAACGAATCGCGAACTTATTATATGATTAAAAGACACATTAGAAAATTTTAAATATACAAATAAGGAATTACCGTTATCTTGTGATAGAGTCAATATTGAAAGTGTGAAGGAAAAATTTTGTAAACATTAAATCTTATTAAGAATGCGCCATTATGGAGTTCAATTTATCAGGTATCTTTCAATAAAGTATGTGTATAACGTAGAATGAGAAATTCCTTTGAAAAACATATAATTTCGTATATATATATATATATATATATATATATATATATATACACGTATAGCAAAAAAACAAAATTATATCGCCAACATAAATTTATCAAGACTACCACTTATCCTGCTAATCATTAATGAACATATGTAACAATCGTAATAAAATATTGCCAATACACTTCCTTTTGCAATGTATTAATTTCACATTATTAGTCGAAAGACAATGATGGAATTAATTGATAAAAATTTTAATAACCAAGATTGTATTGTATCGAACGTCAGTGATAAACGACCGCGAATGTCGGGCATTAAGATAGCATTCCATAAATATCGTGAAATATAAAACTAATTTAAATTTTTGAGTCCGACGCGTAATAAATTTTGCTGGATCCTAAACGATAATCAACGAGTCGATAACTCAATCGAATGCTTCGGCTTCGGTCCCGGTATATTACAAATATCACAACAATCGGGAATATTTGCAACGTCCAGCTTACCATTGAGCACGTGGAGCTGTACGCTGACGCTCTCGAGGTTACTTGGTCGACAGGTGTAATTGCCGGAATCTTCGGGGCCGGCGTTGTGGATCGTCAGGTTACTCGCCGTATCGTTCGTCCCCTCGATTAGCTTCGTCTGTATATTCATCTTCCCCTTGCGGATGTGCAGCTGCCGCACTTCGTGGTACCAGAACACGTCGAACGGCACCTCCAACGAGTTCTTCAGCACGCACTGCATAACGACAGTACTGCCCGTCTTCACGTACCTGTCCTTGTCGCCCAGGATTTCGATTTTTGGCACTGCAAAATTTACGGACAGTCGAGGTTTCTCATTATTCAACGCTTACGGCTGCTTATGGAAATGTCGCCCTAATCTCCAATACCTCCTACGTCAACTGCACGGACCAATAATGAAGCTCAACGCCAATATGCGTCGTATCTAATTTCAGGTGACGTTAACTGTATTTTTTATCAATTTTTGTTAAGACTATCGCGTTGGCGACAATTTTAAAAACCGAACGATCATAACCGACCATCAAAAATTTCAAAATTTTACGAAAAATCTACGTTTTTTCAATTCACGTGTATTCTTCATGTACATTATGCGAAATATTGAAATCGCATTTAATATATAATAAATTTGAAATCGTTAATATATTTCTATTTAAATATAAATAAATTAATTTTCTTATTAGATATAATAATAATATTATTAAACGATAAATTTGTCCGTTGATAATTGAAAAACGTTTGAACTACATGTTCAGTCAATGTGTGAATTTATAATTTGAAAACATTTTTCTACACTACATAATACATCGAATTGTATAAAAAACTTTGTCACAAATTATCAACATAAATAATCATAAAGTTAATATACATATTATTTATGAACATGCGCACACTAGGACTATAATTAAGCTCCTTATTATTATGGGGAATATAATTTTCTTCGACTGGATAGTACATTTGCGGTACAATTCCCGTACGATTTAAGACCACTAATAGTTTATATATAGAATTATATTGTACTAATAAATTTAATGTCAACTGGCGCAAGTATTATTAAGCGAATGAAGTGCGTAAATTTGATTATTCCTATTGCCTATCACTACTACTAATAACCAAGTGTCATTGATGATATGGGCATAATACCAGTCGTGTATCCGTATGGCTGCTTATGATTGGGTACTTCCAATTCAGTCTAAATTGATACTATCAGTTTAGGTTGACGTTGAAATCAAGGAGAGATTCATAGGACAATATAATGAGGTTTCGTATTGAGATCCAACACGTGCGCGCTAATGGGAAGTAGTAAACATACATTAGCGATGCTGCCTGATGTGCTACAGAATTTGGCTTGTCAGTGAAAATTGAGCCGCATACGTAATTTCAAAGATCCAGCAATAATTGTCTAACATGACCGACGATCATTAGATTACGCGAGATAGATTAGATGTAAATTGATGACAAAGATTGCCGTGATTATAAAAGATATGATAGATTCCATGCAATATGGAGATATATTTGATCAAGATTAATGCTACGTCATACAGCATTAAAGTTTTCAAATTTACTTATATTTAAACATTCAACCCATCTCAGAGAAATAACAATATTTAATTACAAGCATTTAATCATTTACGTAATTGCTCCCAGCGGTGTGTAAATGAAAGATACGTAATGGAGACGTAGACATTTTAAATGATAAACATTTAATGAAGAAAAGAAATTTCTCTCGGAGACTAACGGAGAATCTTATCTCCTCTTTTATTTACTGATTATATGCTGAATGCATTCGTTTACGAAATGTTAATGTTAATCCATAAATATATATATATATATACATACATATATATATATATATATATATATATATATATTTAATGCATTTTCTCATCCGCGGTAAGTGCAGCCATGACGTTAATGTTTGATTTATATTTTCGTCTATTTTCATTTTTAACTTCAATTATTATGCCGTTATACTCTAAGCCATTTTATAATTAATAATTTAAAATAATGCTTCAGAAATTAAAAGTTTTTTTTTCATAATGAAACGTTTCATTCTTTGAACAAAAATTCATATATTTTTTAACTTACACTATTTGTATTATTATTTATTATTATTAATCCATTATTTATATTTTTAGATTTTTTTTTATTGTCTTTAAAGAAATTAATCTGCTGTCAAAAAGCCGTAAATAGCACTAATTAAGTGAATGTAGCATTACAATATAATACAAAATTTAATTACAATGCTTCCGAATTATTATTAGTTAATCAAAGCTATTGGTTGAAATTGAAATCCTTTGAATTAAAGGATTTTTACACCAACGATAATAATATTAAATTTTCTAAAATTATACCAATTTCCATGCAATTTTGTTTATGTAAAAATACATGGCTTCCTAAATGATAAAAGAAAAAAGCACATAGACATATAATATATAGAAAGAAATGATATTTAATTTCTTAGGATAAAATTTCTTTTCCATTAAGAGTTATAGAATTACCCTTCAAATGCATATCTAACTACTATCAAATGACTTATTATTATAGTCTATATTACTATTAATTTGCATATAATTAATGAACAATTTTAAATTATAAATTGACTAATGGGAAATTTGTATTTTAAAGCTTAATTCAAATGTTAAACAAGATAACCAATTTGATAAAAAAAAAAAAAAAAAAAAAAAAAAAAATAAAAAAAAATAAATAAAATAAAATCAAATAAAAAGAAGTCGTTAATTTTTTAATACTATGTGAGGGTAAATTAGTATTAGAAAAGTTTTATGGCCAGTTAGTAAATCAGGTATAGATTTTTCTTTGAATTTTAAGCAAAGTAGTTACAAGATACTCAGGTACTTTATATTCAAAGTACTTCCTATAGTTTGTTAATCTTTAGACGTATATAATCAGATAAATCAATCTTCCTGTTTTTTAAGTCAATACTGTACAATAATTACAATAATAAAAATTTATTTAAATTATATATTTTGATTATTATTCGTATATAATAGTTAATTATTTCAGCCATATATTTCTGTATAATTTTTCTGTATAATCGATTTGCATTGATTCCGATAAAAAGATTCAGATTATTAGGCAGGTAATAAATGTAAATTATCATCAATACCATAAAGATTTAGAATTAAAAAATATTAATCTACTTGTAATGTCTATAAAAAGTATAAAAATAATATACTAATAAAAATATAAATATAAAGCCAAAGTTTAAATATTTCATTAAAAGTATATTAATGTTTATTATAATGTTACGATAATTAATTTTTTCCTCATTTTTTAAATAAATAGAAATTAACGCATTAAGTTTTTCATGTTAATAGCTAATTAAGCATTTGTTTCTAAAGTATCCGCATAGTTAGAGTACATAGTTTGAAAGTGTTTGCTTGAATAATCAGGTACTAATTCTTGCTTTAAAAACATTTTCTTCATTGTGTTTCATTTCATGAAAAATATTTATAAAGATATTAAAATGGACCTAAAGTTTTTAAATAATTAAATCTAAATTGGCAATCTTTGCGAAGTTGTTTTTCAAGACTCAATTACTCTTTATCTTTCTTATGAAAAAGTGACGATAATTTTATAAGATAGGATTACTTTACAAGTACCAAAAGTAATCAATGGTGAAGCGAAGCTTCAAAAGAAACTTTATTATCCTCTCAATCTTTCGTCTTAAAAATCAATTTATTAAGTTAGTAAATACATTTTCTTTAAATTTTGTAGTAATATTTTTCCGGGGTAATCGAGATAAACATTATGATTACGTCATTATTAAAGAAAAACTAGTTTTGTTCATATTGTAATAAAACTAGTTGCAATCAAAGTGCTAATCACATTATTCGCATATAATAATTTTTCAATGTTTACATAATATTTTTGATAATTTAATATAATCAGAAAGAAAGAAAATCTCGTTTACATTATATATATATATATATATATATATATATATATATATATATATATTTACTTACAATAACAATAATAATTACATTAATGAAACATTAGATTAATTATTGTCTCAATGGCTTTACGAATTTAAAGATATGTTGATTGGAGTTTATATAAAATGAAGAATTTTTTGCACGAAAGAATTTTTATGAATTTAATAATATTAAAAACAAAAAAAACTAAAGTAGTTAAAAATTAAAAGGAATAAAAATTAAGTATTAAGGCTTCATTATGTATTCTTATATGAAAGTCTAATAAAAATATAAAATATTATGTAGAAACTATATTTAACGCTTGAAATAGGATAATATAAAATTTTTTCACAACATTTAATTTTCAGTAGGAAAAAAACCTATTATTATAACGTAAATATATTATAATTAATATAATATCTATATAATTCAAATAAATAGTGGAGAGATATATAATTTTAATATACATACATATATAACATTTATAAACATGTAAAATACTATAAAATAATAGTTAAAATGCGTATTAGTTAATTAATTTATTCGATTTTAATTAATAAAAGAAATATTAAATTAATGTTACATTTTATTATAATTTATTACAATTATATTTATACTGGACAATAAACTTTATCTAATATAATTCTTTTTTTTTTCATCAGTACTCAATTAAGTAAGGTAGACGATCACATTTTAATTGTTTTATGTATTAATAATTTATTAGAATGGTCTTCGTATTGTAAATTGTAAAATTGTAGAATTCTTTAATGAAAAAATTTAAATAGTTTCGTAATAAGAATATTTGTTACCGATTACCCTATGTAACTGACTAAGTTCTTTACAGTCAACATTCTTTGATGTATTTTTACCGAATTTTGATAATCCAAGATATTATTTTAATTTAGTTCAACCAAGAAGTTTAGATTATTCGATTATTTTTGTTATTAAATGATGTATTAATGTTTTATATTTATGTAATTACTCTAATGCACATATTCGAATGAAATTTTGAAATTTTAATTTTTTCAAAGAATTTCCTGAATTTCACTCGAATTTGTTGAATAATTGATCCTCTTAATTTTGAGTAAATACATCGATTTAATAATGTCAAGACAAATTCGATACGTTTAAATTCTCTTAATCATTTGATGCATTTGACGTATATGCTACACGTATATGGAATTAAGCCAAATTAGTTTATTTAGTAATTTAGTTTAATTGTAAAAGTAACCTTGAAAGGGGAATAAGTAGCTATTTTAGTCGGATGCTTTATTTATTTTTACCATTCTTTGAAATGTCCCTTTTATGTTATTTCAATGACTAAGTTGCAACTATTTAAATGTAAATTTGAGAAAATTTATGAGAAGGTGACTTATACTTTACCGTTTACCTTTTTCGCGTGGCGCATTTTCATTACGAAAGCTTCATTATTCATGCAGTTGACGGAGTTCCGGAATATGCTTTATTCGATGATTAGGCCACGAAAATTCTAAATTGCCGCTTTTTGAACAGAAATTTGCAAAGGACAATGGATATACAATGGCCATACGTACCAACGACGATTAGCTTCACCGTGTGACTCAGCTTCGGTTCCGTCGATATCTGGCACTCGTATTCGCCCTCATCGCGTTCTTGTGCGTACCTCACTTGTAGAATCCATGTGTTTATCGAATCGTAGAAGTGCGATTCAAATCTGTCGTCGGCGATGAATACTGTCCTGTCTACTGACAATATGTGCGCGTCCCTTGTCCTTACCCATGACACCTGAGTGACACATGTAAGTGATTTGTGTTACTTGTATCTATGCATTTGATGCGACGGCGCACCTTGAGCATTGAGCATATAGTGTGAAATAATGGCCTGTTGAAGTAATTTTAATTGCTCCGTTGTATGCGTTTGGCATTTGCATTTTTAAAATTCACGTAAAAAGACAAGTTTGCTTATATATCGGAACTAATTACTTTTGTGGTGGTTCATTTTTGTTTATTTATTTATTTATTTATTTATTTTTTGGATTAAAGTACTCGTATAATTATTAGAATAGAATTCCACTGTAAATGATAGTATATATATTGTGAATTTTCAAATTTATATTTAAGATAGTCAAAGACTATTTTGTGTTATTCGAACGTTTTTTTTTCTTTTTTTTTTTTTTTGTCTAATTCAATGAATATTTATTTGAACCTAATAGAATTTCATTTTAATATATTTTCAAGAGCATCGACGTAAGAAAATTTTATTGGATAACTGCTTAATTAGTTTTAAGATCGCTTCTAAAGTTATAATTAAATAATTATCTTTGAAAAATAATTACATACGGACATTATGTTTATAACGATATTGAAAAATATTAGTAGTCGCAACATTGGCCGCTAAAAATAAGATTCCCTTTAATATTAAAAAAAAAAATTCAAATAAATTAGTGTGAATGTAATATAATATCTTACGTATTTCTATTCACACTTTAGCAAAATTCGAAATATAAAAATATGAATAATTTTATTCCATACGCAGTTAAATTACATAGAAATATATTTTTTTCAATAACCCTGAATTTACCGTTATATTATTAAAATCTTATAAATATTAAACCAAGTCTTGTTTTTAGAAGTAAAAGAAAATTAATAAGAACGTGAAAATCAAGCCATATATTTCACGGAATAAATATTTATGAAAATATTATATATTTTCGATAATTTATGATAAAAAACAGAGAGCATATCAATCTCTTGTTATAGTTATATAAATACAATTTCTGAAATTGTTCTTCAGTATTGAATAACAAACTTCGCCGCATATAAATCATTGTAATTGCCTATTGTTCTTAGAAATTGAAGAATCTTCCGAATTTTGTATAAAGGGAACAGGATAATAGAGAAAATAATTCTAAATCCATTAAAACTATTAATTTATATCAGATTTATATTTTACATATTCATAAGTTTGGATAAATTTTTGGATATTACTATCCATCTAATTGCCAATGGTAGTTTATGGTTTAAAATAAAAGACAAATGTGAAAATTGAAAAGTACCTGATCAATACAGAGAAGACATTGTACATGTAGATAAGCGAGGAGAAAATTATAAGATTTTATTCAATTTTTGCCTAAAAGTAGTAAAAATATCGCGAATAAAGATTTTATATCTTCTATGAGTTCATTTTATGTATTGCCATTATTTGTTTAAGGAAAAATCCCATTTATCCTTTGCAAAATATAAAATGTAAAAGATTATTTTGTATTTTACGTAACTTATAACACGTACTTACGCAAAAAACCTGATAACAGCTGTTTAACTAACAGATAAGCGAATCGTTAATCATTTTTCTCAATGAGATTTACATTCTTTTATTTAACATCGATTTTTATTTATAGTAGTATTATTCGACTGTATAATTACGTTATTACTTGTAATTTTTTAAAATAGTCTTATCATTCTTTGCTCTGAAAACATATTGCATAACTTTCAAGAAATTATATATATATATATATATATTATTGTTACAATATTTTGAGTATTTATTTCAATTACAATAACTTTAATATACAACGCACACCGCAATGTTATATTTGAATATAATCATATTATTCATTATAAATGTTTTAGAATGGAATTTCAACTGCATTAAGTCAATTAGAGATTCTATTTTCATTCACATATTGTCATATATTAAATTTTATCAAAATTATATGAAATATTAAACAGCAATTTAAAATTTAAAATTTAATCTTTTAATTAAGATAGTCAATTGCTAACTCTAACGCGTACACTATTAATTTTAATTGCAGATGTGATTTTAATTAAGAATATTTATTGTTATTTATACTCTTGTTAAACAAAATTGTAAATTAACTAAAGATGATGAAATTCAATCTATATAAGTAAACTATACAACAGTACTATATTTTAAATGGTGGATTTTACGTATCAGTACTTACATAAGTCATGAATTGCTTGTAAACTAGATATTAAGGCACCTTAGTACATTTGATTTAAGGAGGGTTATAAAACCATTAATGTTCCTTTAAGCAAAATGGAATATAGTTTTAGGTAACGCGGGATTTTAGTATACGAACTGAGAAAATTACACTTCGTTAAAATTAACAAGTAAATATCAAGACTTTAGGATTAATTTTGGTTCTAAAAAGAATTGTTATATTGATAGTAGATTCGGCACTAATATGACTTATTAATGAAATATTCGATTCATTTGTGTCACACATAAATTAGTATAATATTTAATAACAAAATTTCAACATTTTATTAAAACGAAATTTACAATTACGATTTAATTTACTTTAAGGAATTAAGGTATTATAAAATAAATATTTTTTATCATTTTAGTGAAGAAAAGAAGCGAAACAAAAGTAAATCGTAGAGAGAGTGGATGATAGAAAACACGTAAATGTAGTTAAGAGGTGTAAGTGAATGAAAAGAGACTTGAATAGAATGAGGGAAAGAATAGGAATTCCGTGCAGCTATTTAGCAGCCACGTGGATTTATCTTACGTTTTATGTATACTGACGTAAGGATCTCACTTTCCATTTAATCTATCGTAACGAAGTTCGTATAAGATATGTTGTGGCTTTGAGAACTTCAAAAGACTTTCATTCAGTAAAAGATAGTAATGATTAAAAAGAGACTACGCTAGTAAATGAGAATAAGATACTTTGATGAAGAAGATAGATGAATATACCGGGAAAAGGCTAAATTTCTAGTTTTGTAAGAGGAAAGCAAAGTTAGAAAATCGGAGAAGTAAAAAGGGACATTATCATCTAAAATAGAAGATTTGTAAAATATGAAAAACATTTTTCTATTCTAAAGTGACTCTATAGTGATCTTACGAATAGTGATAGAGTTTACTTATTATTTTGATATTTACCTTGATTTTATATTAACGTGCCTAGAATAATTATGCGAATAGAAGAAACAAAGTACATTTTTCTTCGCTATAATTAATTATTAGTAATTATAGAATATACAGATGGTATGTTATTATTAGTAATGCTTACTTTTTTTTTTAAATTTCTTCATTACAATTAATATTTCAGAAAATTCATATAAATATTTTGAATGTAAAGGAACTGAGAATCTTCAAGATTTTATCTTAAATATTCTCATCATCTCGCCTTTAATCTTTTTTTAGCATTTCAGAAATTCATTTAATATATGATTTTTTTTTTTTTTTTTTTATCAAGATATTAAATATAAGTGGTACTTATGGAAGAGGACGTGTAGGATTGATGGGTAGAGTATTTTGAAATTCTAATCGTTACTTCTAACGGAAAAGTTTAAATAATGCAACAATGAATTATCGAAAGAGAATTGTTCTTTAAATGCTATTATCAATTAATAAAGTATTTTAATTTCATCATCATAATTGTGTAAAATAATTGAAAAAGAATACGTAAACTTGGTCAGACGAAGGATGTGCATAAAGGATAGATCACGACCCATTTTCAAAAAACATTCAAAAATTCAGAAATGGTACTTCTTTGCAAACTAGTTTTATGATTGTAAATGTAAAAATTTTCGATTTAGCTCGACAATAAAAGGTCTTTGAGATAAAACTTGGAAACTTATAAAATTGCCATAATGTATTTGGATTCTTTCCGCAACCAATAGTAATTTATTTTATTGAATAAAGTTTTTGAGAGCTATTGTAAAATTGCAATCTGTTCTTATATTTCGAAACTTATTTTATTCATAAATATTTATATAATGATCATGTTTATAGAGAATTTAGCAGGAATATAATGTATATACATTAAAAGTTTATAAATATTACAATTTCCTAGTGTAAAAATGAGTTCTGTATCACATTCGTAGAATTTAATATGGAAGTATTGTAATAATTACTAGGTGTTTTATATTTTTATCATTGTTACAAGTATAATGATATCGATCTTCGGAATTCTAAAGATGAATACTAATGCTTGAATGTTTAAATGATGTGTAGATGCAGACGAGATTGAAAGTAGAGAAGAAAAGTCTGTTCCGCGTCTCATTTGCTATGTACAAGATTCTAGGCCGGAAATCCGAGCAATGGGACGTCGAATTTTGCATTTTCGGAGGTCACCAAAAGAAATCCATAAACTACTTGTATTCTCTGCATATATTAACCTATCGTTACTCTTCATATAAATTCTTCATATAAACTCTTCATATAAATATTCTTCAATAAACTTTTTTATTTATAGTTTTACTTTGACGTCGTTTAATTATTGAAACAAAAAACAAAAATAATATAAAACTTTTTTTTTAAGCTTTGAATCATACGAATGATCGATGTACTATAAACGAAAGCAGTCGTAAAAATTTTATTCAAAAGTCCATAGAAAAATGCATATGCATTTAGTATTCAATCGCTAATAGATTTGAAAAAAAAACTTGATTTGTAGCGTAGAAAAATTGAACTCCTTAAACAGCAATTTTAATAGACGGTACATCAATATATCGATATATATTTTGTATTTAATATATTACTTTATGTATTTATGATTATGAACCGAAAGCCTTATTTTCTCTATCAAATGTGTCTTTTAAATGGAAAATATGATTTATGAATGTATTGACGAGCTCTCGAATGAAATAGAAATATAATATTAACTCGTAAATAAGGGATTTTTAAAGATTAATTACTTTCGATCATATATTGCGTACCTCACTAATTATTAAATTATTAATACGACATTTAGACAAAGTCTATTGATTGCAGATATTGTAGAGATTGTAGATAAAAATTTTTGTATAAGTTTGGTCGGAATGTAAGTTGTCAGATTTGCATATTATTGTTTTTAATTGAATGCAACCCGATGTCCAGGTAAACACGAAGTAAGAATAATATTTATAAATATGAAGACGCATTATATTTTCAATAATAGTGTGCGGGGCCACTTGAACTTGGTAAACGCTGCTTTAATCTACTGGAGAGCGATGGGAAAAACGGAGGAATGAAACATTCAGGGTATCCTCGATCCATCTAAATCGCGAGCTTTTGCACACCGCTTACGTATAAATAACGAAAAGAACTTCTCGCTAGTGCGAAAAATTTGGGACATTCTGCACGTCTCTTTGGACAGGCGGCAGTAATAAACACTCGAGGAATTGCCCGGATGGTGAGTCATTTACGCAAATGAGCCGAGGAGAGTTCGCGCGCGATCTCAGGACGCGTATGCATGTACATATATTATAACGTGGCTCGTAAACTCTTATAACGAATTCAAATCCCGTGCCAGAAGCGATCTCGGGCTTTATGACGGACTTCCATAAAAATAATTGGCGAGGAAGAAGGACGGAGTGTCGAGGATGAGAGCGGGAAAAGGATTGGGCCGATGTTAGTGAGAAAGGGGTCCGGGCGAATGAAATTTATACGACGAAAGATTTCATTTACAAATTGGCGAAATCGGCTAAGACTATAATTTTTCTACAGATTTTTTGAACGAATAACTTTCATTTATTATTCTCTATCCGTGTCTGCTGCCATTTTTGGTGAAAACAGATTTATCGGTTGCTCATAATTAAATTACATAGTCGTTTACATTGACGAAGGAAAAAAGTATTTCTACTCTGTTGGAATTTCACGTCGACCGGTTTTCTTTCTTCTTTATCACGAACAAAATTATATTATTGAAATTTATAACGGAGCTTATTACTGTATGTATCCTACATGTATACTGTATTATATAGATAATCATATTGTTGTTTTAGTAAATTGCGGTTATATGATGAGTTAGAATGTGTAATTTTAATAAAACGGAAAAATTTTTTTTTTAATTCTATTTGATCATTATTACTGCTACGAATGGTCGATTTGAAAATCATTTGTCGAAAATTTTTCATATTTTTAATGTAAAGTTCTGCGAAAATTTTTTTTATATTTTATAAAGTATTTATAAAACAGAATGTATACACAAATATCTTTATAAGAAATAACAGTTACGTAGCAATTTAAATTTCAGCTTAAAGTAGAAAAAAAGACAGTGAAAAAAAGGGTTACTGGAAGCCCTAAAAAGTAATATCTACGCGTTGTTTTACGAAAATTGCCCGTGTATTCTCTCACACGAGTATGCCACTATTATTTTTGTTATAATACTGCGTTTTAAAGAGCGCATGCATAAATGAGAGAGATAGGTAATGTTTTGGCTGTGAAGAGATAAGATTTTACACGGACGACATAATAGAATGCTTCATATTTACAAAGTATAATGGTTTATAAAGATTTTTCGCGGAATAATAAAATTTGTTATAGGTTTTAACATTTGTTTAGAAATGCGTGTATAAAAATGTAATACAAAATCGCAAAATTAATCGCAAAATCAACATTATTTTGACATCAAACTCGATGACATATTTTTTTATTATTATAAATTCTCTCTCCCTAGTATTTTTACACTGAAATATTTTTAATTAATGTTCGTGAAGAATATTATTTTCTTGAAAATACTAAGCACTCTACATAACTTTGGATATTGATTAGTCTTGATGGATTGAGATTTTTAATACAATGTGACGAGTAATTTTCCCTTTACTGCAAGTTAAAATAATAGACAATTTAAATTCAGCGTAAATTATAAGCTTTTATGCCGATGATTTTAAAGCGATAAGAGGACAAATTAACCGTCCAACAGTTTTCATACAAATTTATTAGAAAAATTATTTGATCAGTAAAAGTATTGTGCGATTACAAGTAACTTGGGGATTTTAAGTATCGTTAAAATGGTAGCTTAATTCGATCGTAGCACCTCCGTCTCTTTGAGCTTGAAGATGCTAATTAAAAACGTTTTCTCCAAAGGAGAGTGTGCGATTCTATCGCTGCATATCGCAGTCATTAAAAAAATTTCCACAAGTGCTTGCAATTTTCGATAAGACTAGCGAGTTAGAAAAAAGCAAAAATGCCGCCTTTAAGAAGAAATTCGGCAAGCCTCGTTAAAATTATATTCTTACATAAATAATTTGCGCCAATCTCGCCTACATCCCGACAATTTGTATGCTGGGATTGCAGCGATAAGGCGCCTGAATGACGTATAGAGTGTGCAACGCGGTGATTTCTTACCGATTTGTTACCGATTTGGCGAACTTTGCAGGGCAGGAAGGCGTGTGTGCCGAGTTGCACGGTGACGTTCGTCACGTTGTGTGCGTCGATGTAGGGACCAGTGTAAAGTCCGCCGTATCGCTTCACCAGGGAGTGCGATCTCGTGCTAACCCCTGTAAACGATAAAAATCAATTTTCAGTCGTTTTTAATGTCGCTGACACGCGCTGCTCGCGCCCCCTCCTGAACTTTCTTTCGTCCTTCTTCAATTTCAATCGCCTTTTGCACGTACGTTCGGTCGGCAGTTTAGCGCTCCGGTGCGGCGCATCGACACTCAAATTGAGAACTGAAGCGGAAGGCGAGGGAGGATAGTAAGGAAAACGAACGACTAACTTGAATAGCCGTAAAAGCGAGCTTTTTATACCATTAGTGTGAAATTTTTAATTAACTTGCTTGGTCTGCTTGTTAGCCGAGCGGCTTCCAGACGATAACGAAAAACCATTCGGAAATAGATGAACTACGTGACGCGTTTATGACTGGCTTGGGAGTGGGAGTATCGAGATGCGAGATGTCGAGGAAGCGAGCGCTCGATAGAACTACGCTAGACAAATCGTCATCGGCATATAGGGAAGTCTAGAGTTTCGATAGAAAATGACGTTCCATTCGTCACGACAAATATCGTGTTACTTTCAGCAATATTCTACACGTGTGTTTTTAACGCCTCGTTATGGTGATTCGATTGCATTAGACGTCCGTGACACGGTGTATGCATGGGCGGCACTTATGAATTCTTCGTCGTGCGCGCAAAATAGATAAATGGAACGTTTAAGGCTTTGTAAGTGCAAAGGGGGTTTATTTATTTATTTTATTTTTTGAATAGCATTATAAAATATTCGTTCCAAGAATAATAATCAATTGCTTAATAAATATTTGCCAATTTATGAAATTATTATTACATTAATTACATAGTACTCCTTATTCCTTATCCCTATTAAAATTGCAACTTATTTCAGATTTAAAATGACATTAATAATAATAACGGCAAGCCTCCGACAAGCATTCTGCACATGATTTCTTTAATATTGATATTCTGGCGAATATTCGGGAACATTTATAATATTCAGCATAACATTAGTACTTAAGCAACGCGCGCGCGCACGCATATAATTATAAGCACTTCAGGGACAATTGTAATTAACATTTTGCAGAGAGCTCAGTTAAAGTATTGCAAGTAGAAGAGAATGAAGAGCAGGTGATTTGTAAAATTTCATCACTACCACTGTCTCTATAACTAATTTATCGTACGTATAATCACATGTAATCTTCAGTACTTGGAAACGAGACTCTTCCTGTATGTTGAATCGCTTTCTACAAATGTGTTAAGTGGATGCTGCAATGCTCGAGTGCGAAAGAGTAAAACGGGAGCTGCAAAGACGGAATGATGTACGGTTAGTGACGATTGCCGAGTTGGAAGTATTTAATTATTTTAAGGTATTTCTGGAAAATGGACCTTTTCAAATGTATGCAAGATATATTAATTTTTTAATATTTAAATCATACTAAGGATATATGAAATGAGCTTAAATGAAATGTAACATTGACCATTAACGACATTCGTAGGGAATAGAAAGTTTTGTACTTCGTATGTAATTTTCATTTCAGGAGTAAACTTAAGAAAGTTGCGTTTTGAATTAGTACAAAAATGATTAGTAACTTTAATCTTGTTAAGTCGTAGAGTATTTTAAGTTTGAGAATAGCTTTAACAATGTACAAAGTTATTATTATTATTATTATTATTATTATTATTATTATCGTTACCTTTGTTATTATATAATTCAACCTATTATACATTTGTACTACTGATTAGCGCATTTAAAGTTCACGTTTTATGGTATTATTAAGAATTAGTTTTATTAAAAATTGTTTCTTGAAGAAAAATAAAAATCTGTTTTATCCGAAGATTCTTACAGAATTCGATAATCGTACTGTAGCTGCACTTATATGTCTAAAAAATAAATTTTTCACTATTCCGTATTACGGATCGCCGCTAATTTATTAATTGCATTAAGACATTTAATTCACGATAGTCTAGTCTATATTTTTTAAGATCTAAACATGTTTTTCAGTTAGAAGAAGAAGAAAAAGATGATGATGACGATGATGATGATGAAGAAGAAGAAGAAGATGAAGAAGACGAAGGCGGAAATTGTAAAAGTTGAATTTAGATGTCAATTATTGATAACAAGTTTAAAGGTAAATCTTTTAATTGAATGAAAGATGTACGTAAATAGATGTGAATGATATTTCTAAAGTAAAATCTAATGAAATAGTTAAGCCATGTGGAGTGCAAAAGTCTTCCAATTAAAATGAGAAACTTATAATCTTTTTAACTGTTGGGGAAAAGTTAAGAAAAAATACTCTTTAAAATCATTAAGGATAAAAGTGATATAAAACTGAATACCACAGAAACGATCAGCTTGAATTTTTTTATTCTAATTATGTAGAAATGGATATAACTTTTAGCAATTAAATTTATCATTGGTATGGTGAGAAACAGTCATAATGTCTTTGTATTTTACATATAATTAATACTAATACAAAATATAATTTTAATATACTCTCTTCTCAGTATTCTATACATACGTGTACATACGTAATAAGATAAAATATTTACCGATGGCATATATTATTAAATCCATGACAAATTGGAATATTTCTTTAAGCAACGAGCTGATGTTAGCAAGTACGTAATCGATTGTCTCGCTAATATCGTTGTACATCTATTTAAATGCACAGTCCTGGCATCTCGACAAATGCTAATTGTATCATTACCAATTGTTTCTTACACCGGGTCTCAATGAAATTCTCAGCCTCCTCGAAATTTGCATTATCAGCAAGGCTTGTGCCTTTACATCCACGGCCTCAATAAAAAGCTGCGCTTTCCTGTGTTATTTTATTCAGGACCGCAGACAGTGCCCTTTGATCTAGATAAAATATTCAGCAAAAACAAAGTGAATCTTCGTGCTCGGGGTTGGATGGAGGTAGGGGCTCCCTATCGCTTCTGGGTAACGAGCGAAAGCTGCAAGGGAGCTGAGACTTGGCCGACTCTGGTTGGCGCCTAAAGGAGAAAGTAGCGGGAGGCTAATTGACATTGCTTGTCGCAGGCGCGCGAGTCTCCGCGGCATCTCGATTCAGCGCCTATTCAGACCCGCCGGCCTAATTGCGAGGTCTCGGGGCTAATTGAACGTGGTGCCGGCCAGGGCGACGGGGTGGCGGACCGCGCATCGCATAATGGAAACATTTCGCGTTATTAACGTTGGGAACGGCTGAAATATATCATCGCGGAGCGGAGCTTGATTTACGCTGTCGACCAAGGGCGACTCTTTTCCTAATTGAGTGCGCTTAATTATGGCGAGGATCGAGGGTACTACCCGTTCGAATCGATTGTCGAGAGAGGGAGAGAGAGAGAGAGAGAGAGAGAGAGAGAGAGAGAGAGAGAGAGAGAGAGAGAGCTCGACGAAAAAAGCGTATTGTCGAATTTGCCGTTAAGTTGGTATGATGCGACGTAGAGATTTGTTGTTTCGCGCTTGTTTTTCCTTCGACAAGTTATCTTTACCGATTGGTTGCTGTACCGTGTTTATTTATTTATGTTTTTTTTTTGTTTGTTTTCGAACAATGCAGTGTACTTTGAAAATTGATTGTGCCTCTGTATTCTGTATTAGCGCTTCGATTTTTTAGCTTACTTTTTTTCATCTTCCTTTCTCTCTCCCTCTCTTTCTCCTTTCTCTTTCTCTCTATTTCGCTTTTTTTAATGGAGAATCGTACATGGTAACACGATTAATCTTATTGAGCATGGATTTTCGCTTTGAACATTGTTCTGTGAAAGTACGTGTAACAGTGCATCAAAGGAAGGAAAATTAGTTTATTTTATTTGATCGCTGGTTTTGAATTTAGAAATCGAGTTATATAGAATTGAAAGGCAGTGGAAACAATTTTTTCCCGCCGTCGAATAATTTTTATTTATTTATTTTTCTTCTCTTCTTTTTTTTCAGTAGTACCAGCTTCGACGTAAATTCACAATTTTTATATTTATTTAATTATAGTATTGATAATTATGTATTTCCGCTTCAGAAAAATATTTACAAATGATATTTCTCCTAGGTAACGTCTCATGTAAAAATATGTATAAAATCAAGCAAAATTCGACTCATTCATATATCAAACAGTAATAGCATTAATCAACTATTTGCCATCATGGAAGCACGGATTTTTGTTCTATCAGTTCAAGAATAATGTTTTTGCTATTGACACAATGTTCGGTATTATTTATGTAAAGTCGATAATATAAATTAGCACTGTATTCCATATAATCCGGTTGCAATCATCAAATATCATCTATCATAAAACTTATTTAAAAGACAATAAAAAATAGATGCTTTCCAAGGGTCAATGAGATTGTCGATTATTAGAAATGTCAGTCAGGCATTTCTGGTGCTATTGCAGTATCGATTTTCTCTCATTTTCTGAATAATTCTCGTACGACGCTATCTCATGATAGAGAATGACAGACGAAGCGCAGCGCCGGCTCTATATGTTAGTACAGCTACGCATGTAGAAGAAGTAACGATCCCAATGAGAGAAAAAATGAGCTTTTTAGCGATAGAGGCAAGGGAGGGTAATGAGCCATCCGTAAGCGCGAGGAAGACGAAGTAAGTGCAAAGATAGAGAGAGCGAACCGATCCTCGATTATGGATGAATAAGCCGAAATGAGAAAACATACAAGACGCAGAGTGTATGTGAAAGCATAGAGCGATGGAAAATCTGAACTTTTGCCTTTGCGGAAGTACGCGCAGCTGTGTTCGAGCGTTTCACGATTCCGCCCCAGAACTTCCCTTAATCGCAGTAATCGTTGACGGGGATACGTAGAGAAATGGCGCAGAAGAGTCCGACGCGGCACCATGAAGGGTAAAGATAAAAGGACCCAGACCGAAGTAATTCAAAAGTGATTTCAGGATGGCACTTTGCAGATTCAAAAGCTTTGCTCCCGGCTGGTGCACTTAGAAAAATTACTTTTAATATTTTTTTTTTATCATCATCAAAATTATCATCGTTTTTATTAAAAAAAAGGTTAAAAATAGTAATTACTTTTTTAAGCCTCAGTAAGCTATTATTTTA